GGTCTGGGGACAACTTGCAGAAAGAAGTCAGTTCTCTCCTTCTGTAACTGCGTCCTAGGGACTGAACTCATGTCATCAGGCAACAAGCGCTTTCACCCACTGAGCACCTCTCCAGGCCTTTCCTTCTTTTCGGGATGCCATCTAATACAGATTAGCTGGCTGAAGGGGTCACTGTTACATATTTTCTGAAGAATCCTCAAGAAATATAAGAAAAATACTCCTCTGCCTAAATATGGTTAGATTATTTACTATACTAATCTCACATCTAATGAAAACAAAGCAATTCAAAGTACTTAAGATATCTATTTTCTAAAACCTCTAAACTTCTAGTCTATTAAACTTTATAATCTAACATTATAGCCTACATTCTCTCAAAATTATTTTTGTCTATTTAATCTGAAGTGCTTGCTCCATCTGAATACCTACAGTTATCTTATAAAAGTCATTCTGTAACTAATCATATATTGTCTTTTAAAATCTTGTAGTTTCTTTTCTGTTAAAACTAATTTGAGTGTGTGCTATCATACATATGGAGGACATATGCATTACTATGAACACCCATAGTCTTAAGGGAAATACACAGTTAGCAGGCCACGTATGTGAGTAACACAAGCAAATGGAAGAGAACTCTGGTGGAGAGGAGGCAGGTGCAGGGGAAAGAAGGGAAGGTGATTAAGATAACATCCTCATGAAAGAAAAATGTTTGAGAGTCTGGGGGAAGAGAGTAGACAACTGCTTTAGGAAGGAAAATGGAGTAATAATGTACTGAAGGGCAAAGCAGGCTGAAAGATTTCAATTACTAGAAGATAAATTCAGAGGGAAGGATTCTGGAGACTCAGCCTGGCACAGTCATATACACTTGCCTGTAACCTAGCACTCAGGAGACTTGAGATGGAAAAATGGCAATTCAAGGCCCACTTAAGCTATAAAATGAAGCTATCTTGAAAAAGAAAAAGAAACAGTTTGAATGCCAAGACAAGGCCTATAATTCTCACATACTTCATCTATAAATGAGGCTATTAACACCCAACTCAAACACTGTTCAAAGGCTATAGCGTGATGGCACAGTGTTCACCTCAAAGCTCCATGGTCCCGAGTTCAAGCACCAGCAGTGCAAGCAAAGAAAATCAATTAGTTTTAAAATTTGAGCTTTGAAAAGAATGAAGTGAGATGAGCACCTGATGTACTCAAGTCTATCATGAGATATCACCACTGCCATCACCTATTGGGAGACGGAGACACAGCAATTACTCTGTCTCCATAATGGAAACGTATGAAGAGTCTAAAGATCTGTAATCTGAAAAAGTCCAATATGTGATGGACAATACAGTCCTTTAACTCCCCACCCCAACCGCAGTCGTAATATAAACCCTTTTGACTTCTGTGACTGCCCTGAAGGGCACCCTAAGAAACTTTAGCAAACACATTAAGGAATTCTAAAGAATAAGAATTTAGAGGTAGATAAAATTACTGAACAAAGTGAATATTTTTTCTTAGTCAAAATACACAGGGTTTTACTCAACTATAAAGAAACTGAGGTTAAGTTAAAACTGTTCCAAAGAGTGGGCCGATGAAAACCTCATCCTCCAGCAAAGCTAAGTGCTGGCATCTGAGGGTTCTGCTAACCTTTATGAATATTAGGAGTCTCCAAAGGCAGCTGCTCTCATATATTAACCAGCAAATCCTTTTAAACTACTACGAAAACATGATTAGGGTTCCTAGATGTTACACATCTAAATAACTCAGCATTAACATCTTAAAATGCATTTAATTAAACTTTTTAAACATTAGCCAGCATCCTGATATTTTATATCTATACTCAATAGACATCTAACCATTTCATAATACTTATATTTAACATGTACCTGATGAATAAGGGTATATTTTCTACAAAACTTTATCATTTGAGATGCTGAAATTAGCTGAAACTGTCCTCATTACATCAGGAAAACACGACTGGAACAACAGGAAAGCATTTTTAAACAGCACCTAAAGCAGTGAAAGAGGACATTTTTACCTGGGATTTCCTCTCAGTGCAGCATGGTGCAGGGCATTGAACCCATTGTTGTTTGTGATGGTCACATCTGCTCCAGCTTCCAAAAGAACTGCCAGGATGTCATCCCGCTTCTTACTTATGGCATCATGGAGAGGGGTGTCACCTTCAGAATCCTTATTTTATTTTTTTAAGTTTAAAGAGATTTCCATTAGTTCCCTTTCCATTGATCACCACATCAACAGGAAGACTCACTGAACTTCTAGACAAAGAAGCAGGCTCTCTAACAAGCAAACAATTGTCAGTCAGCAACCATGCTTAGAGGTCCTGTTGGTCTGCTGTTAAGATGGAGATGGTGGTGGCAGTGATGGTTGTTTTTGAGTCAAAGACTCCACACTATAGCCCGAGCTGACCTTAAACTTGCTCTCTATAGTTGAGACTGGCTTTGAACTTCTATCTCTACTTTCTGAGTGCTGGGATTACAGGCATGTGCTAACATCCACAACTTCACGTTCTATTAAATATATAACGCAGGCAAAATTGGCAGGTCTGAAGATATGCCTCAAGTTGGGAGAACACTTGCCTACCATGCACAAAGCCCTAGGCACTTTCTCCAGCATTACACGAAGCGGCCATGACAATACACACCTGTAATCCTGGCACATGGGAGGTAAAGGCACAAAGAGCAAAATTTTGTGGACAATGTGAGTTCAAAACCAGCCTGGGCTACAAAGAGACAAACAACAAACATACAGCAGCAGTCTTAGAACCCAGAACAATGAGTTTAAAGTCAGTGGATTTCAGCCTTGACAACGCAAGTACCAATAATTTTTCAGTTTTTTATATATTAATATAATATGCAACATTGGTGAGAATCAACAAACCGAAGTCTTTTCAAAGGACAGCAAAGTGAATATGGAGTTCAAAGCAGAAACAAATCTAATCAATACCTATAATTTCTAAATCTGCTTTTTAGAAAATTTTATCTCTGTGTATGGGGTGTATGGAGCGAGCGGAAATGAGGTGTGTGCACCCATGCACACACCCACGAAGTCCAGAGAAGGACATCAGGTTTCCCCTCCACTCTCCTACTCAATTCTTTTAAGGCAGGGTCTCTGAATAACTTGCAAGTTTACTGTTTCAACTAGACTGGTCAGCCAGTGAGTTTTGGGACGCATTTGTCTCCGTCACCCCAATGCTGGGGTTTCAGCCATGATCAGCTTTTTGAGGGGGTACTAACTATCTGAACTCATGTCCTCTTGCTCATGTAAGTGCTCCCCCTCACTGAGCCATCCCTCCAGTCCCTCAATTAGACTGTTTCGCCGGGCGGTGGTGGCGTATGCCTTTAATCCCAGCACTCGGGAGGCAGAGGCAGGCGGATCTCTGTGAGTTCGAGGCCAGCCTGGTCTACAAGAGCTAGTTCCAGGACAGGCTCCAAAACCACAGAGAAACCCTGTCTCGAAAAACCAAAAAAAAAAAAAAAAATTAGACTGTTTCGAAGGTATTTAGCATTAATCAATTTACTTAGCAATAAATGCTAATTCCATATTAACTGTCTGCATAAATGAACTATTTAGAGTTTATACAATCTGTAGTTTTACAAAGTCTGCACAGCCTACTCTCTATCATATACCACAGCTTTCCATCTGTTTTTATAAATTCAATCTTACTGGAACATAGCTACACCCATGCGCTTATGTATTAGCTATGATTACTTCATTCTATAATGGCAGAGATGTATGGCCTTGAAACAAAACACGTAAAAAACCTGCAGTACCATTTGGACTTTTACAGAAAATGTTTTCCAATCACAGGCACCCACCCACATAAGGTATTCCTAATCCAAATTCAATCCAACCACCTACCTTCTAATTGGTGGCACTAAAAATGTGTAGCCTCTCACTTGAGGAGAACTCTTAACGTGCTCGGAACACCCTTCCACAGGTCCCTGGTCTGTCCTGCTTTCTGGTCCCCACAACAGCTATTCCAAAGCACAAGTCTCAATTATGCTCTGTCTTCCCCAATCCCAATTCACCTTCCCTACATGTGACTTTGCCTCACACTTCAGAAAAGCGAGTGGGTCTAATTCCTTCTCCTTCAACAGATCACCTCAGTTCTCCCTCCATCCTCCATTTCTGCCATGAACTTATAAAACCACATCCTAGCAATAGTCTCTTCAGAAAAATTACTTCCTAAAAACAAATTGCTGAGCAGCACCTGCGACTCTCTTCAAAAGCCGCTGCTCCGAATACTCCACTCTTCAGCCACATCCTAAGATCTAGGAAGTCTCTATGCTGAGAATCATCCACACCATGATTCCTCCTGTTGTGTTCTAATTATTATTCAGTTTTCAATTTAAAGAAAGTAGTTTGACATATGAACTTGCCCATACCAAGTTAAACAGAGCTGGCATATATACACTGCCCATGCATGTTTCAGCAGTGCCAGGGCATAAATTTCATTTTCATTTTTCAATTTCAGTTCAACATATTCAAACAATGCTTCAAGGAACACTTTTATTTAAAAATAATTAAGTATTTCAAGTCTATTTTGATAAAGATGATAGAGGTAAAGAAAAGCTAGGAAGGAACCTAAACACTAATATGATTACATACTATTTATTTTGTTATGAAGTTACATATTCATTCCAAATTTTAATTTTCTGTGTCTACAAAAGACAGTGTTTAATAACCATGATGAGCACATCTTGCACAAACTGTATTTCTCTGACATGTGTGGCTTATCTTCATCTAGTTGCTAAATGAGCTTAGAAAAAAAATCATTCCTTAGGTAAAATTTTTGCTTCAAAAATTAGGCCACTTTCCTTCCTACTATAAATCAAAACAATATTATTTTCCAAAACAGACCTAAACGAAGAATCTAGAATAAATTAAGCTACAATGAAAATATTTAAATAGTTATGAAGTAAGTTATTTTATATCACCTTCTATCTTGGATATTCTTCACAGTAACAAATTTACACAGAACTTTCTACATCCTTTAACAGAGTTCCATCAATGCCTGCTCTGTATATTCCTTTCAAATCTTACCTGGAGACTGGGATGACAACCAAAATCCAGCAGCGTCTTCACAACCTGAAGATGACCTTTATTGACAGCGATATGCAGAGGAGTCTGCCTACGCTTATTACGAGCATTCAGGTCAGCGCTGCCTCGGTGCAGGACTTCGATAACAGCACCCTCATCTCCAAAGGCTGCATGGTGAACAGCTCGATCTCCATCTTTATCCTGAACAACAGCATGAGAGTTCAATCAGTAGAGTTAAGAAAGAAAAGCTGAAGCTTTAAAATGCCACGAACCAGAATAACTTCAGAAAAATTGTGGAAAAATATAAATAAAACCAGTGAGACCAATAAAATAGCTCTAAATTGACATGAACAATCACAAATGATAAAACCAGATCAGTAACATTACAGCATATTTAAACTGGGCCAATACTAGAAGTACTTTATTAAAACTCTAATGTTAGGGAATCAAATTTAGGGTCTCATATGTAGGTAAAAAACATGCTTTACAGCCTGTGTACACCCAGCTCATAACAACCAACCTTTCAGACAAGAGCTCACCAAGTAGCCTCAGCTAGACTTAAGCTTCATGCCTCAGTCTCCCAGGTCCTGGTACTTTCAGTGTATACAACTGAAAACTTTGAAGTTACATGAAAACTATACTAGTATCAGCTGAGTGCTAACAAAAAGTATGTACAGCAATGTGGTCTTAATTACCTAAGCAGAGATTCGACACTAGAGGAACAAAGTGGTCTTAATTACCTACATAGAAATTTGACATATTAGTCAGAGTTACATCTAAGTGCTGAATATACCCACTTCTGTATATTTGAGAACAGAAATATTTTTCTAAATAATGCATAAAAATATAAAAACTGAAGACTGAACCAGTAAATTCCACAGTTCCAAATTCTTAAAACTCTTTGATAAGAATTAAACTGTGCTTGCCACACTGTATAACAGTCATATTTCTAAAGAGATGAGATGAACTTTTTTATATAAAGAAAAGAAACTACTTTATAAATGGAAAAATGGTTGTGCTGTACCATAAAGGCAATATATATTATGTATCACATACATTTACATATAACTAGATCATTACCTTTGCAGAGGTAGATATGCATAGAGAAGGGTACTATAAATGTTACTGTATTCATGAGAATACTACACTCCAAAATGTCAACACACTATTGATGGAGGAGGGTCATCTGTCTATTGGTTAATAAAGAAACTGCCTTGGCCCTTTAATAGGACAGAAAATTAGGTAGGTGGAGTAGACAGAACAGAATGCTGGGAAGAAGGGAAGTGAGGCAGTCGCCATGCCTCTCCTCTCTGAGATGGATGCAGGTTAAGATCCTTCCTGGTAAGCCACCACCTTGTGGTGCTACCAGATTATTAGAAATGGGTTAATCAAGATGTGGGAGTTAGCCAATAAGAGGAAGTGTTTAAAAGAATACAGTTTCTTTTTTTTTTTTCTTTTTTTTTTTTTTTTTTTTTTTTTTTTGGTTTTTCAAGTCAGGGTTTCTCTGTGGTTTTGGAGCCTGTCCTAGAACTAGTTCTTGTAGACCAGGCTGGTCTCGAACTCACAGAGATCCGCCTGCCTCTGCCTCACGAGTGCTGGGATTAAAGGCATGCGCCACCACCGCCCGGCCAAGAATACAGTTTCTGTGTAAAGCATTACTCCAAAACAATGACTCTCAATCTGCGTGTTAGTACCTAGCAGTGGGCACCCAGTATCACTTAAACTACTTTTCAATGATCACACAAGTAAACTGCTGTAATTAAATACCTCTAAAACAACTGAATAAGTACAAAGCAGGCATTCAATTCAAGATAGATTTTTGTTGTTGGGTTTTTGTTTTGTTTTGAAGTATTTGCCTGCTATCTTTCAAACCACTATCAAGGGTGATATTTATATAGGAATCTGGTTCAATAGCATTTCTGGATAAGGTAGAAAATTTCTACCTTGTGAATATTTCCAGCTGAATCAGATTAGGAGCTTTTGTCACCAGAATGAAGGAATAACAAGCACTGTAATCAAATATCCCAGAAAAACAAGCATATGTACATGTACACACATCCTGACACAGACAGACAGACAGAGAGAAATGGATAAATAACTAATTTTCCGAATCGCCAATTTAAATGGTTTTTCCTATTACAATTTTTAAAATTCTGTGTGTGTGGTAGGCAGACAGAAAGACAAAGAGACACAAAGAGGCAGAAAGAGAGTATGAGTGTTAGTTTGTGGATATGTGCTCATAAATACAGGTACCCTTAAATGCAGAAGCATTTTCAAATCCTGGGTCTAGAGTTACAGACATGTGAAACACTCAACGTGGATGCTGGAAACTGAACTCGGGTTCTGTACAAGAGGAGTATATGCTCTTAACCAGACCCATCCCTCCGACCCCACTATTATAATTTTTACCTTTACATTTAAAAAGGGAACAATCCATTAATACCAACTAAATAAAATGGGGATCATTTATGAAGATGAATTTGTTATACTTATGGTTGTTAGAAAACTATTAAGTGAAGCCAGACACAGTGTTACACACCTATAATCCTAGCACAAAGGAGGCTAAGGTAAGAGGACTACAATTTCAAGGCCAGTATGGACTATATAGTGAGGTCCAGGATAGCCTTGGGTTAAACAGTAAGTGAGACTCTGTCTTAAGATAGACAAGAAAGCAGGCTGTCAGGCAGGCAGGGAGGGAGGAAAGAGAATAAGGAAAAGACAGAAAGAAAAGAGGAAACACACACACAAAACAAAACAACAACAACAAAAACACCACAAATCAGAGCATGTTATGCAGGCCCTATCAACAGTTTATGTAAAAACAAACACTAAAAGTTTTAAACGCTGGTATATGAACAACACTATAAAGAAAAAAACATTTTAAAAAATTAAAGATTATAGAACACACATACATACAATAGGACACTACAATTACACTTGTTTCTATATTTCTCTTCTAAACTGTCTTCTTCTGAATTATTCTGAATAGGCTTCCAGCATGGCCGGTCCCTATGCTATCCACATAAGGTTCTATGGAGACTCTGTGAAGGGTCCTTAAACTAACCCTAACACCACACCCTTTCTCTCCTGTCCTCCTTTCAACGTTAAACTCTTGTTCCTATTGCAGCTGCCCTATATTGCCTAAGAAAACCACAACCCACATAGTAGCAAAAACTGCCCCACAGAGCTATATGCATCTGCTTCCTCTCTGAGTACCTTTATGTGTACATCAGAATCCACAGCCATTATTCTTGAAATGGTTTACCCATCTATTTTCTCTCCTGCTCCTCACCACAGCTCACCTTGTCTCCATCCATTCTTATACCAGACACAGAAGTTTCTGCACAGCAATGTTGCTGTCTCTCTGTGACACGGACTGATTCCCGCTGCCCTTCTGCTTGATTTTTCTTTATCAAGGTGGCTGAAGAAGACACTGTTTTAATCTACTCAGTATTTGTGACTGCTACAATTTGGAAATGATTTGTTAGTATAAAAGTGCTGGAAGCCTGGTCCCCACATTAGGAATAGTAAGAGTATTAAGAGGTGGTGAATCTTTAAACCTAAAGGGCCTTGAAAAGATGAGTACAGGTCTCACAGCAGCACGTTAGCTTCAGAGTCTCGCTCCTACAGGCCATCTTGAGTCTCTCTAAATACAATACTTCTCCACCATTGAACAAATGTCCTTGTAGTATGATTGAGCATCTTTTGGGTATATGCCCTGGTGTTGCTGGGTCCTGAGATAGCCAGAACCTGGAAACAACCTAGATGTCCCTCAACGGAGAAATGGATAGAGGTGTAGCACATTTACACATTGGAGTACTACTCAGCAGTAAAAAAAACAATGACATCATGAAATTTGTATGCAAATGGATGGAACTAGAGAAAATCATCCTGAGTAAGGTAACAGAGACCCATAAAGATAAACATAGTATGTACTCACTCGTAAGTGGATATTAGCTGTAAAGCAAAGAATATTGAGCCTAGAGAATCTAATCTGGGTAACAAGGTGAACCCTAAGAAAAACATACATAGATCCACCTGGAAAGGGGAAATAGACGGGATTGCCTGACAAGATTGGGAGCATGGCGGTGGGGAAAGTAGGAAGGGCAGAAGAGGAGGGGAGAGGAGAACTTGAGGGAATGGGATAGTCAAGAAGGAGGAAGGACAGAGATGAGAGCAAGGAAAGAGATATTTTGATTGAGGAAGCCATTATGGGGTTAGCAAGAAAACTGGCACTAGAGAAATTCCCAGGAATCCAGAAAGATGACCCCAGCTAAGACCCTAAGCAATAGAGGAGAAGGGTATCCAAATATCTTAAATATCACCAGAGAACCTTCATCCAGCAACTGAGGGAAACAGAAGCAGAGACCTGCATCGGAGCACTGGACTGATGAAGAGTGGGAGTAGAATATGAGCAAAGAGTCAAGACCATGATGGGGACACCCACAGAAACAGTCTACCTGAGCCAATGGGAGACTTCAGCATAGGTCCAAACTAGTCCCTCTGAATGAGTTGTATGGCTGGGACAGACTCTGGGTCCACTGGCAGTGGCAGCAGGATTTATCCCTACTGCTTGTACTGGTTTTTGGAACCTATTCTCTTTGGATGGATACCTTGCTCAGTCTAGATATAGTAGAGAGGGCCTTGGACTTCCCCCAAAACAATGTGCCTTACCCTCCCTGAGGAGTGGATGGGAGTGGGGTGGATGGGTGGGTAGAAGGAAGGGAGGGAGTGGGAACTGGAATTCATTTGTAAAATGAAAAAAGATAGTTTTCTTTTTCAAAAATTATTTAAAACAAACAAAACATAACTGCTCCATCACTCTCCCTTCTGTCTACTGATGGGGAACCTCCTTCAGCCAATGGCCTTTGAGAGGCTGGACCAGGTTGCGTGTGGCCTTGGGTAACAAAAAGGCTCAGGTCCATCTGTTCTCTTTCTCTCTCTGCTCACCACACCTGGATGTTGAATTTCATTCCTGTTCCCCATTACGATCTGTGATTTCTCCTTTAATAAAGAACCCCTTACTATACCCT